TGGGGGGCGGGACGGTCCTCAGTTTGGAACCCATGGAATGAAAATTTGTACAGCAGCAACATAATAAAAATAAAAGCAATCCTACCTGCTAACATTACAGAGTGCTTACTATTTGGTGCATATGAACTCATCTGACCCGCATAGCACCTCTGAAACAGGTCCTATTACTATCCCCACTTCGCAGACAAGGAAACCGAAGCAGAGAGGGTGAGTAACTTGCCCCAGGTTATTCAATCGGTCAATACAAGGGCCAGGATTGGAACCCAGGCATCTGGCTCCAGGACCTGTGCCTGTAACTGGATGAGGGCATGGTGGTCTGGACATCTGTCCTCCCCTGATGGCCCAGCAGTCAGTGGGAAATCAACGGTAACCTACGTCCTTTTGTTTGTGTGTGTGTTGAGCCAACAGATGAGGAGACACACACCTGGGGAATTTCCTTCCCTTGCAAGTTTCAACTCTACAGATCAGGCACTTGGGGCTGAGACCTGCTGGCCACAGGAGATCAGCCAGGGATCCCAGGGGAGGGACTGTCCAGTTGTGGGAGGGACTGGAAGAATTGCAGAGGTTGCAGAATGAGTGGGGCCAAAAACACAGCTCAGGAGGGAAATGAGGCGTGGGAAAAAGCACGGCTTCACACATCGACCATCTCCAGCTCTATGGGTTGAATTGTGTCCTCCCCACATTCATATGTTAAAGTCCTAACCCCCAGGACCTCAGCACCTGGCCTCATGTGGAGATTGGGTCTCTACAGAGGTAATCCCGTGAAAACGAGGTCATGAGGGTAGACCCCCAATCCATTCCAATATGATGGTTGTCTACTTATGAAAGGGGGAAATTTGGACATACATACAGGGAGAGCCCCATGTAAAGATGGAGGCAGAAATTGGGGGGATACTTCTACAAGCCAAGGAACACCGAAGATTGTCATTGACCACAGGAAACTGGAAGAGAAGCAAGGAGGGGCTCCTCCTGGCTTCAGAAGGAACCAACCCTGCCTACACCTTGATCTCAGACTTTGAGCCTCCAGAGCTGCGGGAGAATACATTTCTGTTGTTGAAGCCCCCAGCCTGTGGTACTTGGCTACAGCAGCCGCAGCGAACTGACACAGTGCCCCCCAGCCCTCTCCTGACCCCCGCTGCCACGCACCTCTACCGTCGGTGGTGATGCCCAGGCCGCTACTGCACAGAACCTGGAACTCGGCTGGGGGGGGGTAGGGACAGGGAAAAGAGGGGTCAGTGGTCATTGCTGAGCCTCAGCCACTCCCAAGGACGTGGCCCCTTGGTGTTGTGCAAGAGTCTGGGACCAAGATGCCTCCCCCCATGGAGAGAGCAGTTTTCTGTGGTCTCTTCTTGGGGAGAGTCACCAGCGGCGAGATGCCCCCCCACAAACCCATGGGGGCCAAGACCTCTGTCCCTTCCCACCCCAGGGTGATGAACTGGAAGGTGTACAGGGACGAAAAAGGCAGGCAGGGTCAGGCAGCAGGACGCTCACCAGAGTTCTTGGCGGGACACGGCTGGCAGGGCTCCCCAAATCCGTGGTCTGGGCTAGCGCAGCAGCACTCGGATTTGGTGACCGCACCAGGGAAGGGGTGGGCGCAGGAGCCCTGCTCCAGGGCTCCATAGCAGGTGGTGCGCACATGGGTGTCCACGCACACGCGGCCGTCCGCGCCCACGGCCAGCCCCCCCAGGCAGTGGCAGCGAAAGGAGCCCTCGGTGTTGGTGCAGTGGCCGTTCATGCAGATGCCCGGAGTCTGGCACTCATCGATGTCTATGGGGGTGGGGGGGCCACAGGGGGCTCTGCAACAGGTCCCAGTGCCCGCCCACCCCCACCTGCTCCTCCCCCAGCCTCTCCCCTCCCTGCCCATCACCATCACTTCCATCCCAGCCCGTCCTATCCAGCCCTTGGCCTCACCCACGCAGTAGCGGCCACCGGGCGCCAGCAGGAAGCCGGATTTGCAGAGACACGTGAAGCTGCCGTCCTCGTTGATGCACACTCCATTGGCGCACATGGTGGTGGTGGCACACTCGTTGTGATCTAGAGACACCGGGGAGGTGGGATCCCATCCCGGCCCCTCGCTGGCCCAGCCCTGCCTACAGACCAGCCCCTCCCGCTCGCTTATACGCAGCGCAGCAGAGCAAGGGCTGAGCGCCCAGGACCCCACCCAGGGGCCGGGGGCCCGACCGGGCAGCGCATGGCTTGTCTGTGATTCTGTCTGCCTGGATATCAGTCTGTCTGCTGGAACGTGAGCTCCCCTGGGGCACGACAGGGCTGCCTGCTCAGTCTGCATCTTCCTCCTGGCACAGGTAAGTGCTCCATAAATATTTGTTCAAAGTTAAATGAATGAGATGGTGGTTGCACGGCACTGGGCGTATACCAAACGCCGCTGAAATGTTCGCTTCTAAATGCTTAAATTTATCTGGTGTGAGTCTCACCTCAATTTAAAACAAAGAAAAGGGGAAAACAGCTGACAAGAACATAGTCTAATTGAAAGGAAGTGGTAGGTGGAGAAACAAGTACGAAAGTATCACTTTTGCACAAAAAGGACTGCACCAGAAAAGGAAAAAGAAATGAATGAACGAAAGATGCACACAAGAATCTGTACATGAATGTCCACGGCAGTATTTTTTCCCATAGTTGCAAAAAGTGCAAACAGCCCAGATATCCATCGCTGAGGAGTGAAGAAACAAGATGTGGCCCTCCGCCCACACATGGGCACGTCACTTGGCCACCAACAGGGGCGAGGCGCCAACACACGCTGCCCCGCGGAAGACCCGGAACCCCCCCGGGAGCCAGAGGCCGGCACCCCCCCAAGGTCCCAATCCCACACTCTCAGCTAGACTCGCTGCCACGCAACAGGTCCGAGGACGTGCTTCGGTCCAGGGTCAGACAGCCCTTGCTGGGATTCATGGAATGAACTCCGGGGGGAGGGAATGAAGGAGTCGGGGCAACAAAGCGCAAGAAGGATCTCGGGCAGGTTGGGTGGATTCAGCAGGGCGAGCAGCGGCTCCATCTTCGGGAGAGCGTGGGTGACGCGGCACAGGAGACGGGCAAGGTGGCCCTCGCGGGAGCCCCCGGAGCCCCCAGGCCCCCCACCCGCCCGCCCATCCCCAACTCACCCACACAGTTCTTGCCGCCGGGGCCCAGCTCGAAGCCCGCGTTGCAGACACACCGGAAGCTGCCCTCCGTGTTGACGCAGCGGCCGTGGTGGCAGAGGCTGCTGCCGGCAAGGCACTCGTCCACGTCTGCGGTGGGGGGAGGCGGCAGCCGGTCAGACTGGGATGCGGGCCGCAGATGCGGGCCAGGCAGCCCCGGCGTCCCCGCTCTCCGATGGACAGCCATACCCACGCACGCCTGCTTGGCCCGCGTCGCCTGGAAGCCCTCGCGGCACCGGCAGCGGTAGGAGCCGGGGGTGTTGACGCAGTCTCCCTGGTGGCAGGGGCTGCTGGCGCATTCGTCCACGTCTGCGGGCAGAGGACCCTGAGCCCCGGCCCGGCAGGTAGGCCCCGCCCACCCGGCAGGTAGGCCCCGCCCACCCGGCAGGTAGGCCCCGCCCACCCAGCCCCGACTCACCGATGCACTCCCCTCGAACGTCCTGCGTGTAGCCCGCGTTACACTCGCAGCGGTAGCTAGAGGGGGTGGGCAGGCAGCGGCCGTTGAGACACAGATGGGTGAAGTGTCGGCAGATGTCGATGGTCTGGTTCAAGGTGGCTGTGCCTGAGGGCGGGGTCAATAGGTGCACCTGAGTGGAGGCCTTTCCTCGGGGCTGGGACTCCCACTCTGAGGCTGGAACTCTGCGCACGTCGGCCTGGCGTGGTGCCCTAACTGCAGACCCGCACACTGGCTGAGACCCCTACCCAAGGCCCAAACCCTGACGTTGAGACCCAGATCCCAAATCTAGCCCCACCCCCAGGCCACTGTCAGTACTTTCCTCTCTACTGCCCAGGCCAAGACCCCCACTCCCCAAAGCCCTGACCCTCCCTCTGAGGCCTGGACCCCCTCCCCCAAGTCTTGGATCCCTCCTCCCAAGCCCCAGGCCTCACCAATGTGGGCATTGCCAAGGCCCAGGCTGGGAACACCACGCCCACTGGAGCCATGGGGGCTGTGCCGCGCCGGCCCAAGGCCAGGACCCACACCGTTGGACCCAAAGCCAGGGAGACCAGGGAAGGGGCCAGGGGAGGAGGGCAGCAGCGGGAGCCCCTGCACACACAGTCGCTGGAACTCATCTGCAAAGAAGCAGGGTTTGAGGCCAGGCCCTCTGTCATGCCCCAGGGCCCCTCCTCTGCAGGGAGCTCTGGGGGCAGAGGGGGGCGGGGGGGACAACCTCAGGCCGCTCACCAGAGCCCCGCAGAGGACATGGCTCAGGGGCTGGGCCAGGTGCCCAGCACCTGCCCCTGTCACAGCAGCACCGTCTCTGAGTATAATGGCCGGCGAGGTCTCCAGCACAGCGGCCCACGATCAGTACAGAGAAGCAGGTGCCGGCCCGGTGGTCTGCGATGGGGAGGGGTCGGATCAGTTACCAGACCTGGGTTCAAGTCCCAGCTCCACCAACACTGCCGGCAGGACAGGACTCCTGGCCGCCCTGTGCCTCGGTTTCCCCATCCCTGGAATGGGCGTGCTCAGAGCATTCACCTCCCCTCGGAAGAATGTTGCCAAGATAAAAAAGTGAAGCACACCGTATCGGGCACATGACCGATTCTCACTGAATGAGAATCTTATTATGAAGATTTCCAAATTATCCCAGGGAGATGGATTTGGGCTCATTCCAAGCAAAAGCCTTCCAACTCCTACAGCGGACATTGGTAGTAAGCTCCCTGTCACTCCGGGCATTCAACCACACTGAGGAACCCCTTGGTTTGGGGGCTGCCCTGGTGGGAGGTCAGGCTGGACGCTCAAGCGAGGACACCAGGATCTGTGTCTATGTGCCCCCACCTGCCAGCCCTGGGCATTTGGGGAAACCTACGATGCTATGAATTTGAGGAGGGGCCCAAGCAGCAGACTGCTGGATTGATGACTACAGCCCCGGGGGAACTGAGACAGAGGCTCCCCAGCCAGGAGAACCACGGACACCCTTCCCCATCCCACTCTGCTCTGGAGTCTAACAGCTTTATGCAGTGATGAGATCTCTCAGGCTCAAAGAGTGTATTTTTAGCTTAAAAACACACAAATCTTGGCCTGTGGCCCACAGTGAAACCTCTTCCACCAGCTGGGAGGGCCCCTGACAGCAGCCCCTGCCCTGCCCTGCCCCAGGCTGAGAAAACACGAAAATATTTCTCTTTTTTTGAAAGAGAGAGAGACAGAGACCACCAGCACGCGCACAAGCAGGGGGAGGGGCAGAGGGAGAGAGAGAATCCCAAGTATGCTAACACAACTCAGCACGGAGTCGGGGTTTGATCTCACGACCCTGAGACCACCACCCAAGTCGAAATCAAGAGTAGGACGCTCAACCGAGCCACCCAGGTGCCCCAACACACAAATGTTTCTACCTCCCCTGCCCCAACCCATGGGGACCCCCAAGCGCACGTGTGGGAGTTGGGGCTCTGTACTCCCAGCACCATCTCAGGCCCTTGACAGGGGCAAGGCCTGCCCAGATGAGGGGAGGTCAACAGATTCATTCAAGGTCACACAGCTACTAAAGAGGGAGAGGGAACAGGAACGCAGATACCCGAACCCCAGGGCATCTGACCAAGCAGCTGCCTCTCAAGTAGGGAAGACAGAGACAGAATGTAAGAACTTTAACAAAAATGATGCTGCCTTTGCTTAGAAAGCACCAGCTGTGATCAGGCCCTGCCCCGTGCCCCAACTGCACCGTTCTCTTGTCTTTGTGAACGGGTGTTGAGTATCAGCTACATCCAGCCCCCGGCATATCATTCCAAAATTGTATTTAATCCTCTCCACGACTCCAAGAGGTAGATGTTGCCATGATCCCCATCTTACAGATGAGGAAGTTGGGGCACAGAGAGGTTAAGACACTTGGCCAAGGTCACAGAGTTTGTGAGCAGCTCAGGGAGCAGCTGGAACCCAGGATTGCATCCCAAGCCCATGTTCAGGGGCAACCTGACCTTGGTTCAAATCTAGGCTCCACTGTTTCGTAGCCGGGAGGGGACCCTTATTCCAGGGGACTTGCCCAGAGGTCCCCTGGAATAAGGGGGGACTTGCCTCCATGCTGACCATGACGGCCCCCAGGGGTGGAGGAATAGAAGGTCTAGCATTGGCCACAGCACACTAGCAGAAGTCCGAACACAATATTCCCAGCCCTGCCTGGTAGAGGCCCAGCCAGAGGGGCCCTGGTGATGCTGGGGAACTGCCAAGCCCCTTCCCTCCTCCCCAGACCAGGACTCTGCCCATCCCCCACCACAAGTGTCCATATTCCTGGCTTGCCCCGTTAGCCACTGGCGATGGCTTAAGTCTACTGACGAGGTTCATCAAAACAGCAGGACAGGGAGTGAGAGCCCAGGGTCCCCTGCCCGTGGGGTGGGGTGTGGGGGATTACAGGAGGGTGGGCATCCGGGGGAGGCATGGCCCAGAGGACCTCATCCTGGCTGGGGGGTCTGGGTAGGGCATGGGTATAGGCATGTATCTGTTCTGAACTCATTGAGTTGCCTCAAGCAAACCTCCCCTCTCTGGGCCTCAGTTTCCCTAGCTCAAAACAGAGGATGTTGGGCGGGGAGATGGGGTCCCCTAGAAAATGTCTGGAAAAGGCTCCTGGGTGGCTCAGTCAGTTAAGCATCAGACTCTTGGTTTCGGCTCAGGTCATGATCTCAGGGTTGTGAGATGGAGCCCCCTCCACCTCAGGCTCACACTCAGGGGGGAGTCTGCTTCTCTCCGTCTCCCTCTGCCCCACCTCCGGCTAGCATGCGCTCTCTCTCGAATAAATAAAAAAATAAATCTTAAAAAAAAAAAGTGTCTGGGAGTAGAACGAGGAATATAGACAAGGAGTCAGAAAAACCAATGGGCAGAAGAAGGACACAGGCATGGAGGCTGGAGGGTCAGGGGGGCAGAGAGGCAGGGGGCCAGAGGGGCTTGCAGACTGGGGTCCAGAGAACACAAAGGCTGACGGGTAGGGAGCCAGAATGCCAGAGGGGATGGAGACCATGCTCCAGAGACCTGACAACAGAAAGACACAGAGACCCGAGGGCTAGACGAGCCCACAGGCCAGAGGGTTGCAAAGATGGATGAGAAAGGAGCCTGTCTCCTAACCGCCCTCTGTCCCTCCAGCCCCCTCAGGCCCCAGCTCACCCAGGCAGCGGGAGCCGTCCAGGCTGCTGGCAAACCCACGGGGACAGGTGCACACAAAGCTCCCGAGGGTGTTGGTGCAGTCGCCCCCAGAGCAGAGGCCCGGCATGCTGAGACACTCATCCACATCTGCGTAGACGGATGCCCGGTCAGAAGTGGGTCTGCCACCAGCCCTACCCCTCCTCTTCCTCCTCCTTGCCGGGGGAGCCTGAGCTGCCCAGAGCACAGAGCACAGAGGAGGTCCCTCCTCGCCAGCCTCCCCACCACCCACCTTCACACTTGGCGCTGTTCTCACTGAGCCGGTGTCCCGTCCGGCAGCGGCACTCGAAGGAGCCCACAGTGTTGATGCAGCTGCCCCCCTGGCACAAGCCTGGGACCGCCTGGCACTCATCCACATCTGCAAGGGGATGACAGGCCTATCAGAGGGAAGAACCAAGACCACAAGGGCTCCCACTCAGCCCTGGCTCCCAGCGTCTTCGTCCCTGCTCGCTGACTCCCTTACCTTGGCAGGCCCCTGTGCGGATATTGGGGATGAAGCCTCGGCGGCAGGGGTGCGGTTGTGCGGGGCAGCGCTCGCACGGGAGGCCCCAGGCACGGCCCACGGTAGCACAGCAGAGAGCCTTAGTGCACACGAGGCCCGTGAGCTGGTGCTGGCAGCCCTCAGCGCCGACTTGGCCAAAGCAGGGGCCCGTCCGGTAGTCTGGGAGACAGATGGGTTTGGGCAGCTGGCCCCAAGCCGCCTCTGCACCCCAGAGCCTTCTGCTTCTCCATCCCCGCAGCCCGCAGCCTCCTTCCCAGCCTCCCTAATACCAACACAGCTGCCTTCACACTGTTGCCCATCCCCATGGGACAAACTCCCATTCAGCCTTCAAAACCCCTTCCTCCCCAAAGCGTTCTCCAACCAACCTCCAAAAAAGGGCCAGGACCTCCAAGCTCACAAAGCGCGGGGCACATCGGGAGGATCCGGCCACTCCCCCCAGGCCCACCCTCCCTTCAGGTCTGGGCAGAGACCACAGATACCCAGCAGGAGCGCCTGTCTCATCCGTGAGCGTGTGTCTGGCCCTGACAAATCTCCCAGACTCAAGGAGGGACCCAGCATCGGCCCGAAGGCTCTGGACCCACAACACTACACCCCTGAACCCTGACCCCAGCCAAAGGGGGTCTCTTTAGTGCCCCCATCTCTGTACACAGGCTCAGATGTGGCTTCCTGGCTCCATCCTCCAGATGGTTCCAATCAAGGGGCTGGCAATGGACCAAGGGAAGCCCCTCCCAGAAGGAGAAGCCAAAGCCAGCCCCCTAGACCCGTGTGGAGTTGCCGCACAGAAATCCACAGTGGTCCTGACTCCCTTAAGCCAAAACAATTCCAGAATCTCATCTAATTCACCCAGAACTCTGGAATCCCCCTCGCTCCCGCCTCTCTGGGGGCCCTCACCAGCCACCACCCACTCAGGCCTCCCCTTCTCACCCTCCCCACTGACCCTCCCTCCCCCTCAGCCACCCCGAGCTGTTCCCCTGAGCTCTTCCCCTTCGGGTCAGCCCAAATTCCTAAAAGCAACTCCCCTCGTGCCGAGGTAACCCTTCCAGTCCCAGCTTCTGACTCATTGCTACACCCTCTCTGCCCCGGCTTCAGCCACAGATGGGCCTCCTCCCCCAGCAGCACCTCCCAACGCCGGGGTCATCCCAGACCCTGCCCACCTCCGCCGGCCTGGACTCCCGGGCCACACCGGGCCACACGGGGCAGTCCGACGGCTCTCACAGTCGAAACCCCACCAGCCTCACCGCCTGGGCATGCCCCATGCCGCCCGCTCTGGTTGGCTTTCTCCTTCCCAGCTTCCCGTGGGCTCCGTGCGTTCTCTGCACCCTGAGTCCGCCCTCCCTCATCTGCTCAGCTTTGGGCCCACACGTGGGGCAGCCCGGGGCCTGGGTGCCCAGCTGCTTCCAACTCCTCCGCATCAACTTTCCATAAAACACCGTTGCTTCGTCATCTAAGGTTTGGCCAAAGGCTCCCAACAGGTGACCACACCCACCTCAGCCATGGGAGTATTCTGACTGTGAGGGGTTGCAATAAAAGGGGGCTTGCTCCTCTCATGAACTCTGACCTAGCACTTCCTCCAGGAAGCCCTCCCTGATGCCCTTCCCCGGAGCAACAGTTTCTCTGCCCTTCACAGCATCAGAGACAGCAGCAAGGAGGCCAGCTGGAGCTTCCCAGGGCCTGGCTACATCTCAGGGGCTGCCAGGAAGCCCCCCTCCACCCACCCAGGCCCCTACCCCACGCCCAGCTCGGTACCTCTCTCACACTGAGGCCCCATGAAGCCGTACACACAGGCGCAGTGGTTGGGTCCGATGCAGCGGCCCCCGTTGTGGCAACCACGGTCGCAGACAGCTGCGGAGGGCCAGGGGAGGCCGGCCTGAGCTCCCCCAGCAGCAGAGGGAGCTGGGGCCCAGAAAAGCCCATTTTCACCCAGGAATCCCCACCATCGGGCCCAGACCCAATGATAAGACTGTGACGGTGAGTACGTCCCTCCAAACCCTGGTCCAAGAAGAGTGACCCGTGGGTGCTGGGCAGGTGGCAGCAGAGACCCGCCCTCCGGGATCCCGGGCCCCGGTGTCCACGGGGATACTCACGCTGCCCACACACAGTGCCTGTGTAGCCCCTCTGGCACAGGCAGGACTCCCCTCGGCAGCTGCCCCCATTCATGCAGCTCACGCTGCACCCCGACCCTAAGGACGGGGAGGAGGGACACACGGTAAAGTGACGACAAGCGCCACGAGGCGCGTGAACAGCGGCAGGACTAGGCTTGCGTGGCCCAGCTCGGGTCCCTTCAGTCCTGCGCCAAAACCAGCCTGCGCCCCCAGTGGCATCTGGACGCCTCTAACCTTCTCCCCCGGCCCCCCCGCTCACCTCGGCTCACCCCACAGCTGGGGGCCAGCTGCCCATCAGCACAGGCACAAAGGTTGGGTCGGGAGCAGAAGCCCTCGCCGCAGGCGTGCCTACAGACGGCTGGCAGGGGCAGAGCGGGTGACAGTCAGGGCCAGGACCTGAGTCCTGCGCCCTCCCCACCCCATCAGTGCCCAGGCAAGGCTCTGGGTTTCTGCTGGAGCCATCGGGAGACGGGCTCTTTGGGCCAGAAATGCTGAGCAGCAAGGACAGAAGCTGGAGATGCTGGGTCGGTGACTGTGGTGTTGGGCCGGAGGGCTCTCCTGGGAGGGGAGCCAGATTCGAGAACCCCGAGGTGGCGGGTACAGACTGGCAGAGAGCTACAGACAGAGATGGGGAGAGACAGAGACTGAGAGAGAGAGAGACAGGCAGGCAGAGAGACTTCAAAGGGCTTGAAGTGGGAGGAACAACAGTAGAACGGGTGTTTGGAGTGTGGAAAGGCTCGCAGGAGCCCGGGAGGAAGCATGCAGGTCAGGAGGCTGGCTGAGAGGGGAGAGGACAGAATTCCAGGGAT